CACTGCCTCTGAACGTTTAGTCTGCCAGTAACAGAGCCCAAGGCTAAGCCCTCAGCATGGGGCACACACAACACCTTATCCATAGGCCTAGAGCTCCATGCAAAATACCATCTGATGAGGGGACCCATGGCGAGAGTCAGACCCACTGGTTGGAGCACAAGTAGCGCTACACGGTAGACGCCCGCCTGACGCTTCTCTTCCTGCCTGGGAGTCTTCATTTCTGGACACCTGGTCAATTTTCACAAAATGGGATGCTAATGCAGTCTGCTGGCTTTTCATTCTTAAAAGCAGATTTTAGAAAAACCTGATGTAATATTTCCAAAATTTTTCATATTTATTAGTATCATGACAATAATCATGTAAACAGCAAGCCACAAGCATCAGTTTCAATTATTGATGTATGCTGCAGAACCTGTCTTTTTAAAGAATTAATATTATTTGCCTCTAAGTAATATTTATTTTTGTGTTGGCCTTACTCATTGTAGACACTGGGCTTGGACTGAGCTTAGTTGTGAGAAAAGTAGCATTTGCACTTTGAAAATGACATTGAATGACACTTTAAAATGTTTATTAATTAGTCCGAAAAATTTTCTAGATCTAAGACCACCATAATAAAAGATGTTCATCTCTAAAATATAAACAAGGATTCAAAGATATTTTCTGAAATCACCTGTAGAGTCTACCTCCAGCCAACGAGTTTGTAACAGCTATTTCTAAGTAGACCGACATGACCAGGAAGAAAAAAAATCCCTTCACAATTAGATTTTTTCTAACATTCTTGCTGGCACATTAGCAATAAAGCTGCAAAAAGAAGGCGTGGGGTTAGACACACTATATTCCTTATTCACCAAGTAGCACTAACTAGTTCCTCTAGAAGAATTTCTCTGGTTGGCCAGAAGGGGCTCTGATTACTGCAGACAACAAATGGAAAGAATAAATTAGGGCTATTAATCTATCACTTTTCAAGGGCACTCAGCTGAAACAAACGCTCCTACATTGCTAAGGATAAATAATATATTCCAGTGCCTTGTCCTGCAGAGGTGAAATCTCATTTACCAATGATTAAAAATTAGGTCCCAAAGCAAAGACGGCTCCTAAGGTGGACGACATGCATGGCTTGAGCAAAGCTGTCGTGTGCTGGAGCCAAGGGCCTGGTCTGTGTGCCTAAGCGGGGAGAGCACTGTATGGTTGCACAAACCAGGAAAAATGTACCCAACCCAAGATCAATCAAGTGTTGGACTTGGCACAGATGTGACAAGTCACATAACCAGAAAACAGTTTTTAAAACAAAACTCCAATGGAGAATACTTGGCAATATCTACCAACACTTTAACCTTTTGATCCACCAACCCCACTTCTAAGAATATATTCTACAGAGTTGTTTTAAACATGTAAAAGAATATATGCTTTTTACTGCAGCAAACTGAAAAGAGCGAGAGTGAGAGTGAGGGGAGGGGCCGAAATACCTATCAATAAGGTATTGGTCAAAATAGTATTATAAATTACATTTATATTATACTGTAAACAAAGGATAAGATTCCCTATGTAGTGCTATGAGATGTCTAAAATACATTTTAAGTTAAAAAAACAAGATGCATGATTGTAATATATTAACTTTGCTGTATGTCTGGAAAAAGTCCAGCTATTGTTAATATAACGAGAATGGTTTGTGTGACATCGATGTAACCTGGCAGCCAAGGAGAGTGGACTGGAATGCGCATGTGTGAACAATGACGACTTCACTGTCCTAGTCAGTGGGGGTGGTAGATGCCATTGAGTGAGCATGTGCCCTGTGTGGCCGTCACATTCAAAATGATTGAGTAGAGCAACGGATCTGCATCAAATTTTGTGCTAAGCTTGAAAGTTCCTCCACAGAAACTATTTGGATGATTCAGAAGGCTGCAGCTATGGGCAACTGGTGATTGGCAGCTTCATCATAACATACGCACTCACGCACCATGTCTCGTGCAGTTTTTTGATGAGACATCAAACCACCCATGTGGCTCAGCCCCGCTACAGCTACAACCCAGATTCGGTGCACTGAGACTTCTGGCTTTTCCCAAAATTAAAATCACCCTTGAAAGGGAAGAAATTGCAGACCATCAGTGAGATTCAGGAAAATATGATGGGGCAGCTGATGGCAATTGGGAGAACTGTGTGAGGTCTCAAGGTGCCTACTTTGAGGGGGACTGAGGCATCATTGTCCCACGTGCAATGTTTCTTGATTCTTGTATCTTCTTCAATAAATGCCTCTATTTTTCCTGTCACATGGATGGATACTTTCTGGACAGACCTTGTATACAAGCGGAACAGTAAGAAGATATATTCACCTTTGCTAATATTTGTTTAAACTGGAAAGACATAAGAAACTAATAAAAGATGGAGTACAAGGGTAAGAATGGGATTTTCTAATGTATACCTTCTTTTTGAATTATGCTATTTAAAATTAAATTTAAAAGACTTCTTTTTGTAAAGAAACTTGCAATTTAAATAAAACAATTTTAACACAGCTATAGCAATTCATGTCCTAGTTGTATCCTCTAATAGTAAAGCTTACATCTGCCCTTAGACGTCTCAGACATATCAGAGAACATTTTTTTTTCTCTTAAGTCTGTATTCTTTAATGTCTAGTCTCTCTTATTCCCACTCTTATTTATTTAGCACCTTAATTGTATTACTTGTAGTGACTAAGAGCATTTGAGAATGAAGAGCCTGTAACAGACTCAAACTGCAATTGCATTAGTTTTTTCAGCTCTAGATCTTGCCGACCACAGTAAGATAACCTGTCTCTCCTATTTTGTAAACAATGTTTATATTCTTCTCAAGGCTCTCTCTTGAAATTTAAGAACAATAGCAGTGACAGCATCATCCTTTTCCATAACAAAACCTTTAATACAGGCTCCATTCGATGACAATCTTAATTTTCTTCTATAAATACCAAATTTAAGTTTAGTTGAACACTGATGCCTCCTTGATAAGTCTTGAGTTGGAATCAAGGGATCGCTCACCTTTTTCTATTTACTGAAACTAAGTTTTAAGGCTCTAGAATATTCTCAGGTTAGAAGCCAACATGTCAGTTTCTTTACATCATATTGCTGGTTTACTTATTCTTGCCAACGGCACCCAAGTGTCCAACATGGCACTTCAGAGGTGCAGAGGGTGACAGATATACATCTAACACAATTTCAGTTCTAGAAATGGCACCTGTTCAGTTCAGTTCAGGGCAAATTACAATTTGAATTTAGAGCCATCAGCCACATCAGTAATTTTGTTATAGAACAAATCAATTTAGTAAATAGACATTGAGGAATATCTTAGTGTTTTAGTAAAACATAAAAACAGTACGTGTGTGTGTGTGTGTGTGGAGTGTTATACAGAATGTTAGCAGGAAGCACTACAGTATAGCTGTCAAGTACACGGATTCCACAACAAAATGAAAGTATTAAATGGCTATCAGCAATTCTTATTTTCCCTTTTAAAGAGAACTTCCTTTATTCTAGTTTGCTCTCTATTTATTAGGCTTAATTATTATTTAGGTCACTTTCAGTGTTTTGAAATAAAGTTGTAAAGATGTCACTGACTTAGCAGAATAATGCTGAACCGACAGTTTTCTTTAGTTTCTTTAGTTCCGAGTAAGGTGGGAGCATAAGAATATGTTCACTTACGTTATATTCGTATATACATGAGTTCATATATATATTTAAAATTTTAGTAGATCAATTAAAATAGCTAAACATTCCTAGTATTAACACTCAAATTTTTGAAGCAGTCAGAAATATGTTCTATTTTAAGAAGATACAATATGGTATGCTATTCCTTCTCATGGATTAACTCAATTCCTAACTTTTAGTTACATGAAAAATTTAAAATTAGATGAAATGACTGATGTTAATATGTATAGTGACCTCTATATGTTTTAAAACTTATCTGGCTAAATTTAAATTCTGAAGTTCTAAGCTGGAGAACACAGCTCTTTCTTTACCCAAGAGGAGTTGGAAAGAAAAAGGTAACTTAAAAGGTTAAACTTGTTTTATAAACATTCTAATATGAAAGTCACAGCACTTTTCAGTCCAACAGGTACTGATGTCTTGACGTTTGTCTTGCAAGTAGGCATAGTAGCTACAAGTACTCAGAGAAGTTCACAATAAATACTAACTAAATAGAATTTAGAACAGAAGTTATTTGACATTACAGTTATTTGAAATTTGGAGATGGAAATAATTTTAAATTCAAACAGATCATGATACTTATGCACTTCTGAAGCACTGAGAGAGGTCAATTGTCTTTTAAATACAAAAATACAGTACAGTCCTTGGACCTTAATTCTTGGCACAAGATTAATTCATTACAGTTTACCAAGAAATTATTAATAAGAAGGTAGAGTTCAAGTGTCCAAAACTCTAATTCTTACAGAAAATTATTTTCAAAGGAAAAAAGTGTCACAAATTTCTAAATCACCAAAATATTTTCACTCTTACTCAAAAAAGGGGACAGCAAACATCTCAAAAGAAGACTTTTATCCTTAAAAAGGGAGTATGAAGAACATGTTAGAAGTATAAAACTTTACTGACAGAAAAGCAGTGACACATTTCCTATCAACTTTGTTTTGCACTTTTCATTTCTAACTTTCCAATTAAGTATGTTAAAATGGTGAAACTTTTTGTAAAACTTTTAAAATATTATTGATTTTAGAGACGAAGAGGAAGGGAGAGAGAGAAACATCGACTTGTTCCACTTACTTAAGGCTGTCTCCTCTATGTGCCAGACCCCACAGCCTTGGCGGCTCGGGAAGCCTCGCTAACCAGCTGAGCTCCCCACACGGGCCAGATGGTGACTCGTACCCCCGGAGGCCAGTTCCCCAGGGAGTCAGTCACAGCACTGACAGTGGCTTTCAGCTTTATAAAAATAAACATATATCTTTACCACACAGCTCAGAAAAAAAGCAAAACACAAAGAGAAAGTGAACTTGGATTTTTAATTTTTTTAAAGATTAACTCTCTATCTATATATATTAATAAAAAGTGCAAAGAACATGTTTAAATTATATTCTAAAATAAAATATATATATTTCCATTAACTGCAGGAGACGACGGGCAAGTAAAGAGCCTGAGAGAGTCCAGTCCCTCTCCATCATTACAGCAGACACACATTTTAAGGAAGCACCTATGGAAAACAGTGTTCACAACACTTCTGGTAACACAGATAGCTTCTGGGTGTTCTTGAAAGCAGTTTGTATTTTCAGTATAACATGAAACAAATGGAAAAGTCAAATTCGCAAACAGAAATGACACGGCTCAGAACTGCATGCGTGCTTCCCACGCCGCTGGTCGATCCCACTGGTGAGCACCCGCGTGCCTCCCATGGTGCCTCGGGAAGCGCAAGCACTCTGCGCTCAGAACGCGGCTGACTTCCAACAGAGGACACCCGTGGTCTCGACGGCACTTTCATCTTGTTAAGTGAACAAAATTTTAAAACATAGCATAATAACACCAGGCTGTATTACACATAACTCATGTTTTACACATAACTCATGTTTTCATCTAAAGGTTTTAAAGAAACAAGATTTGATAACATTTGCTGCTTTCACGTATTTATGGCAATGGTGGTGACAGGTTGCAGAAACAACTGAAACTTTTAATAATAAAGACATGAGTCTGAACTTTATTTTTCTTTAAAACATTCTGGGATATTTCAATAATTCAACCTAGAAAACTGATTTCTACTGTGGCTTCAGCAGTTACATGCCCATAGTTCTTGGTTTTTATTTGGATTTCTTTTACTACTCCTTTCCTTTTTCGTAACTGAAAAGAATTTCTGTTTTAGGAAAGATGTTCTATACACTGTGCTATAGCAATGAATCTGTAATACTGGCTATGACAGCATTTTGACTCATAAAAGTCAATAATATGCTCTTACTGAACCAAGGTGAAGTCAATATTAAAATACAAATAAGCAGCTGCAATCAACTATGCATAACTTGTACACTGAAAGGTCTGTGGTGTCTGCTCTCCTTCGTCCTGTTTTAGAAATAATTTTGGTTACAAGTGTCTACACAGCACCAATTTTATTTTAAAAGAAGCATCTTTACTCAGCCACCCAAATAAATCTACAAGTACACATGCTCAAATAGCTTTTCTCATTTACTTCTGTAATTCTAAAAGACCAGTAACTGTATTAGATTTTGGCTCAATCAAAAATTCTTCGGCAATTATTAAAACTATCAATTACAATGGCCTAAAATACCCACGTCCACAGAATTAAATGAGAAGTTCCCCTGACATGCAAGTGTGTAACAGAAGAATTATACCTGCAGTTGATGGACACTGTGTTCTGTAATAACAGAAAAGGACAGGTCTCTAATAGTAAAAAAGCGTTTCATAAAACTTTGTCATATATAAAATATCTAATTAATTGTGACCATTCCACTTATGATTAAAGCGTGACGTAAGTGTTCTGCCTTCTGCTGTGGGGACAGTTGGGGGTTATACCCAGCCTCAAAAAATAGGAGAGCACCCGCTGCCCAGGCTGACAAAAGCAAAGGGCTCAGTCCTGCTGTTTCTCTCTCAGCTCATCCGCACTCACGCACACATGCGCAAAGAATCTGCAGCTTTAATCTTCATGACACTGTGGCCACACTTTTTCCCACTTCCAAAAATATGTCAGGAAATTATGATTGCAAAATAATTATTCTTGTCTATACCCAGCCTGGATCACCACAGCTCATTTTTATGATTTTGAAAGATAAAATCTGCAGCAGAAGGAGAAGAGGCCTCACATTCATCTTTCTCAAACCCTTTGGTTTCCACCTTTAATGTTACAGTGAATGTAGATTTGACTCAGAGGGCTGGGTCAAAGGCTTCACAAATACTGAACCTGAAGTGCATTAAGAGAATAAACATCTGCTATTATGGCATAGAAAAATTTAAAAAGTAGCGATAACAAACACAACGCCATATACATAAAGAATTTACGAGTCACAAAGAATCTGATAAGAAATTTGTAGGAGCAGTGGAATCATGTAGAAAGGTCAAAACATCAAACAATCATAATGATTACATTCTTTGAAAAATACATCATGTACACATCTTCTTTCTGCCCCAGTTAAGTGAAGTCCTTCTCAAGTCTCCCACCAATAAACATGGTGGATCAAGAAAGACAAATGTTAAAGAAAGGGACTGCACTGATTAACAAAGGGATAGAAGAACAAATAGATTTCAGAGCAAGTAAGGAACTAGCTTTTAAAGAAAAGTGCTTTAAATATGCTTCTGCAAAAAATATGACTTGGAGGCAATTCTGAAGTTTTGACAGTTAATATTTTACTCATTAGAGTTGATCTTCTGTAGAGGAACTAAATTAAAATGTAAAACAAAAAGACTTGTTCAATTATGACATCACAAAATCCCAGGGAAGAACTGGGAACCAAAGCTCCCTTTGATTACAATTTCCCTCTTTTATGCAAAGTGCAAGAGCAACCCCGTAAACCACCAACACTCTCACCTCCCCCTCCCCACCCCCCACCCGTTCTTCCCACTCAACGTCTTCACACACACTGTGATCCATTAGCTGATTCTCAGCTCTCCTGGCACGTATATGCATTATTCTATTGGATTCTTCAGAAAGTCAGGTCTCTACTCCCAGTAGTTTAAAGTAATGAAAAAGAGAGCTGTGAGGAAATACATTCAATTAGGAAAAATAAAAAACTCTGGAATCTGACCTATTTCATGTTATGAAAGTAATGGTTGATACAATGTGTGAAGAACATTAAAACTGAGATAGTTACAGACAGAGAGAGACCTGACTGCTCCGGCAGGCTCTGCATAGTAACGGCCTCTCCATCTGCTCTTCTTCAAGGTCCTAACAGAACTGTAGGTTCTAACTGAGCACCTGAGATCAGAATCAGGTTGAAAAATGCTTAAAACACTTTAAATTATTTCAAAAGGGAGAAATGAAGGAAAAAAAATCACCCAACCTGAGAAGTTAATTATGGACAGAATAAAACTATTAGTACATATGGGCTGACACAGGTCAAAATGAAACACTGAACCAGAACAAGAAAAAGAGGGAGAGGAAGGGAAAGTGAGGACCTGGGAGAGCAAAGGGCCGGCCCTTCCTGTGGAGATCCTCGTTCCTGACTGAAGTACTCTACGACACCCCTCTGAAGGGAGGCACTGTTCCTGCCGTCTCCACAAGTGTATGTGAACGGTAATGGTAGTGAAGCAGGAGGCAAATCCCAGCGGACACAGTAAGACGGTGATTTCTCAGTCATCCTTCCATGAGAGAGGGCACACGGCCTGGAGATGTGGCCAGTTCTGCTGGCTGAGCCACAGAAACCTCAGTAAAAAAATACCCCAAACAGCCCCCTACCCATTCTAGGAGTAATTATATATGCCCCGCTAAACCTAACTAGCAAAACAAATCAAAACAAAAACAATCTTCTCCCTCATAAAGAAAATTACGTGGAAACAAATGCCCCGCAGGAAGTCCTTATGTGTGTGTTTTGACATGTCTGGTAGAGGTTATTTTGTTTTGGATTCCACATAAATTTTATCTCCATCCCTAATCCCAAAGGAATGCAATGCCCGAGAGCTGTACTTCATTTCCTCTGGTCCAAAGGGTGCTTCATGGTCAAAATAGTAGAGAAGCATGTTGCTTGTGGGTAACTGCACTAGAGTTTTTAATTGTTTCTTTAGTTCTGCAACTGTCTGGTCCAAACGAATGTTCACTTCCTCTACCTGATCGTTAAAGTGGACTTCTACTTTTGCACTGCTCTGGGGTCTTAGATCCACTTCTGCCAAAGGCTCCAACTTTCCATATTTTGTGATCAGTTCATGATACCTAGAAAGATAAAAAGACAGTGTCAGCTTAAGCCACTTGCAGCGGAAGTACAAACTTTTTCAAAAGTGCTGGTGCATTACACTGCTGTACTCAACATTATTCTAATATCCTCCTCCATATTCTGTCTGCCCACTGTGACGACTTGGGATCTGTGCCCTGATGTGGGTGCCCTTTGGAGGTCACAGTGAAACCACATCCTGTGGATAGGTTTCTCCTGAAGATAGTCGCCATGTCTGCTGTTAATCATTATGCAAGAATAGGCTTAGAGAGAAAAACAGAACCTAGAAAAGTAGGCACTACAAAGATTATAGAGAGAAGTGGAATTTGTAAAACTTGCTTTCTTGGCTATGATCATAAAGAAGGGCTAGATCTAAGCACATGTTCCTTGGTAACATGTGGGAAAATGGAAGTAGGCCAGCAGTTCCTGTGTCCTGGGGAAGTCATAACTTACAAACAAAAACATCCAGTTGTATGTTAGCTCTTAACCCAGCTTTTTCGGTGATGCCTTGTTTAAATGTTCCAGCCTAGACTCATTGACTATAATACAAGGAATGTACAAGGAATAGATTCTTATAAAAAAGTGGTAAATGAGGAACACAAGTTCCTTGATCAAGGCAAAAATAAAAAGCAAAAGACACCAAGAGGAAGGTGAATTATAGAGATGAGACTAAGGTCCTACAAAGTCAAGTTTCGCACATGAAAAATCTTGTTTCCATTATCAATCAGCCTTGGAGGATTTAGGTCTGATTTTACTAAGGAAGCTGATCAGTTTCCTACAAACCAGAGAGGGAAAAATGCTGAAAAGATCTGATATTAGCTTTGCTATACCCAAGGCACGCGAGGTTAATTCATGTTCAGAATACAACAGTCACATAAGATTATTCCCCCACCTCTCTCACCCTACTTTTGGTTTTAACTCAATTAAACTGGTGCTATAGTAAGTTTGGTAGGAACATTAAAGACATAATAATATGTCTCTGGTCAGAGACAAAGGGAATCATTACCATGAAGTAGAGGGTATGGTAACATAGCGTTGGCCTTGAAGTCGCAGTATCTGATGTCAGGATCTTGACTCTACCTTATAATTAGCTGTGTGACTTGGAAACTCACTCAATCCTTTTGGATCTCAGTTTCCTCATTAGTAAAAGTGGGATAATAAATTCTGCCTTTCCTTCCTTATAAGACAGTTACAAGAATTATATAAAATAACAGGTGACTAGCACTTTGTTATCAGTTCATATACAAATAAAAATATCAACATTATATTCCTGCTGTTCTGGAACTTAATTATTACAACAGACACACTCCTTAGAAAATATGTAACTGAAATATATTTAGGTTAACCTTCTTGGGAAAAGTGGTGGTACGATGAAGCAGATTACAGAATCTTCTTCTCCCAGGACTTGAACCCAAAATAGCACTTTTTTGAGAAAAGAAATTACCAACAGCAACTAACAAAAGAAGAGAGGTACCAACCAAAGGTTGTCATCACCAATTCAATACCACCAAGAGTCCCTGATTTCTGATATAGAGAAAGGAGAAAAAGCTCAGCTGTGAAAAAGCTCAGCTGTCGAACAGCTTGGCTGTGAGACAACTCAGGCATGAAACGGCGTGGGTGAAGCAGCTCAGGTGTTGTAGCTCCAGTCAGGAGAATGCAGTCTTGATGGAAACTAAAAGCGTATTCCATTAAAACAGGGGTGGAGCTGGCTCATATGGAGAAGAGTGTCTGCACCCAGTCTGATTGGCCCATTTCTATGTGAATAAGAACTCCAAATCTTTACACTGGGACAAATAGCATTGTCCTGATTGGTCAGAATGGGTTGCTCTAATTGGTTAGTGGGGATGCAAATTAGCATACAGCTGCATAGCTCCAACTAGAAAAGTCTCAGTTCTATTGGTTAAATTCCAATCCTCAGAACTCCTGAGAATTTCTGAGGATTGCTCAGAGGGCAGGAGCACAGTGCAGGAGGCTTGGCAGCCCAATCTGCGGTTTTGCCCTGAAATACAGTGTGCTTGAGAGGACTCTGTGAACAGCGGCTACTTAAGACTCTGGTTATGAATTTGAGTTCAACTACCACAAGAACTATTTGGCAGGTATATTCTTCGATCAACAGAGGGAATAACCTTATTGCTTTAATCTTTTAAAAGGAACCAAGATCTTAACTAGTGGTAAGCCCATGGATGCATGAATTGGATTGAGGCTTCTCATTATTCTGTTCCAACCTTTTCCCAGAAAGCCTTCCTGAACTGCAAACACTGGAACTGAAAACTACATTTCCCATACTCCTTTGTAGGTGAGATTTAGCTTCTATCAATCATATTCAATAGCCCTCAGGAGACATATAATGGTTCTAGCAGAAACAATTTGGGTAGAGGCTTCCTAACTAGCAGGCTACAGGTCAGGCAATATGTTCCTGGCATGACCTAAGATGGCATCTAGCATCAGCACATCAGCTTCCTGAGTCTCTCCTTACATGATTCTAGCAGAGGTAGAACTGCCTTTGGTCAGTTGTTTCTGTGGTTCTATTCTAGAGGCAGACCCATTCTAGGGAGATAGACTTTCCAAAGATTTTGTAAGCACCTTATTTCCTGTATTAAATTCATTTTTCTTAAAATAGCTAGTGTGAGGTGATGCCAGAGAAATGGCGACGTGAGAAATCCCTCTGGTTTCGCCCCTTGAAGTTTCAAGAATTTGAACAGCTATAACTCAGCAAAGGATTCCCTGTTCAACATACAAATGTGTCTGAGAGATCGGCGCATTGAAGCATATAAAGGTGGGCAAGTGGGAGTGAACTGGAGAGACAAGAAGGGCAGAAAGGCTGAGATGAGCCACAGATGCAGCCCTACAGCCAGGAGTTCATGGTGGGGCTCAGTCTAGAGAGGGGAGCAATCCAGCTGTGGCTGGCACTCCCTTCATCTGGGAGAGGCAAAGAGATCTGGTGGGTGTTCCTGCAGGAGTGAGCGGTATGAGCTGTAGTTGAGCCCAGTAACCTGGGCAGGGATACAGAATGGGGCTGTGGCTGCAGCTGTTGGAAGGTAGAGACATTCCAGATAGAGAAACAGAGACAGAGAGCCTTGTCTTCCCATAGCATCTCAGAGCTTGCCTCCCTCAACCCTCAGTGTTGTGTTGCGGAGCACATTATCTGCAAACCCGGGAAGGGATACTACAGAATCACTACTTTCCTTGAGCCAAGGGTATACTCTGTGGCCACCATTACCTGAGGGCAAAACAACAAAGAAGTCTGCCGGTGCCCCCAGCCCATGCTACCTCCATGCACTGTGGCTAGAATGGGCAGCATCTGGCTGCAGTGGTCAGCACTGGGATTTTGCAGAACTAAAAAACTTGTAATTCAGTGCCATCTACTGGAAAATAAGAGAAAGACCTCTTCATATCAATATGCTGGTGATGGGCCACTCATACACAGATGCCTAGACAGAGAAGGAATCCATCAAATACCATGAATAGCCAAGGTAGCAAGGCAGGTCAGAAAGAAAATGCAAAAATCACCAGAAAACAAACTTAAAGATATGGCTATATACGATATAAATGACAGAGAATTTTGATATTGCAGTTATGAAAATACTCAATGAGATGTGAGGAAATACAGAAAAGCAAATTAGTGTGCTCAGAAAACAAAGAAAGTACTTTACCAAAGAGGTTGAAACTTTAAAAAAGAACCAAACAGAAATTCTGAAGGCGAAGAACTCAGTAAAATAGACCAAGAATGAACTAGTGAGCACAGGAAATAGAAAAGACCAGACAGAGGAAAGGATCAGTGAAAAAGAAGATAGAAATCTAGAAATGATGCAGAGAGATTTTAGCATAAAAATAATAAGAGCTCTATGATATCTATCTGAATCCATCAGAAAGAGCAATGTAAGAATAATAGGTATACCAGAGGAAGAAGAGAGGGAGAAGGGAACAAAGAATCTATTCAAACAAATAGTTGATGAGAACTTCCCAAAACTGGAAAAAGCTAAATTCTCAAATCCAAAAAACCAACAGAACACCTGGATACCTCAATCCAAAGAGGTCTTTTCCAAGGCACTATTTATTAAAACTGTCAAAAATTAATGACAAAGAAAGAATTCTCAAGGCAGTCAGCAAAAAGAACAAAGTAACCTATAAAAGAAATCCCATTAGGTTATCAGCATAAACTATAAGCCAGAAGAGAGTGGAATCAAATATTCAAACTATTGAAAGATAGGAGTTACCAGCCAAGAATAATATATACAACAAAGTTATCCTTTAACTACAAAGGCAAAATAAAGACTTTTCCAAGCATACAGAAGCTGAGGGAATTTATCATGAGAAGGAAATATACAAGGGGGTTATTTTACCTGAAGCAAAGAACAAAAGGTCAAAAACCACAAGTGTGATCACCAAGAAAATTTACAGCATAAACAGGGATAATTTGTGACAATAACAATATAAAAGGAAAGGGGTAAAGGTCTGAATTTACAAAGGAGGATGGAGATCAGATGCATTCAAAAGGACTACTGTATATATGAAACTTTCGTTTTCATAAATCTAATGGTAGCCCCCCCCCACACACATAACCCAAACTAAGACACATTGCTTAAAAAAATAAAAAAAGAACACATAGGAAAGAAATATGGAATACCACAAACAAAATCAACAGACAGAAACACAAAAGAAAAGAACAAATGGAGCCTACCAGAAAAAAAAAAGACAAAATGGCTATTAAAAAATCCTCATACATTAATAATTACCCTAAATGTAAATGGACTGAATTCACCAATAAAAAGTCACACAGTAGCATACTGGATCAAAAACTAAAACCCAACCATATACTGCCTTCAGGAGACAGACATATCTAGTTGCAAAGAAAGACAAAATTAGACTCAAAATTAAAGGGGGAAAAATTGATTCTCGAAGGAAGTAACATCCACAGAAAAGCTGATGTAGCCATATTTATATCTGACAAAATACTTTTCCAGATAATAAAGGTAACAAGAGACAAAGATAGACATTTTAT